AGAGAGAGAGAGAGAGAGAGAGAGAGAGAGAGAGAGAGAGAGAGAGAGAAAGAGAGATGCCTATATGCAGATAGGCATGGCACAGTACCAAGAATCACCAAAGTGAGGAGAAACAACGGTGCAAAGCTACGGAAGACTGGAAAAATGCAATCTGACTCACCAAACTCAGGACTCAGGCCACATACCCATCAGCATCATGTTAAGAAGCAAGGAGCACGACATACATGGATGGAATGTGTCTCCTTTCACAGAACACTCATGGGGAGAACTGCACAGATGAGGTGGGAGAAGGGGATGGCATGTGAGAGAAGCCAGAGGAAGAGAGTGGCAACTCAAGCACAGTAGTAGAAATAACACTAGTCTCTCCATATCACACAATCATCACGAGATACACTGTCGAGTCTGAACCTCGGAGCAAGTCTCCCTAAAATAGTCACCAACTCTCTCTCTCTCTCTCTCTCTCTCTCTCTCTCTCTCTCTCTCTCTCTCTCTCTCTCTCTCTCTCTCTCTCTCTCTCTCCCCGGATACTGACCAGTGAAAGATGATGTGTTGAGCTGTCACAGAGTGAAGGCCAGCAAATGGCCGGTAGCAGTCCCAAGCGTTTTAAGGCTTTATAACAAAAAATGGTGTCCTTTGGGACGATAGACAGAAGATTAGCACGGCTCCTGAGCAAGTCTGACAAGCACTAACCAATGACTTGTCCCGAAGAAAAAAAAAACGCATTACCTGACCCATGTGGCTGAATGGTACACACACGGACCTGTTAATCAGCTGTTCATGAGTTTGAATCCTGATGGAATCAGATAATATCATAGTACAATGTAAAGTTAGGAGGCTTAAGCCACCAGTACATTTCCCAGCCAAAGAATAAAATATGTGGCGTGCATGCAGCTGCAAATTTGGGCTCGGCCCCCAGAGCAAAATGGCTGGCGGCGCCAGGCGGTTTGCGCTGGTTCTTTTGTTTTTGGTGCACAGGCCATTTCCAGCCCAGGAGAAAACTGCCTTGGAAGTACACTGGTGGTTTCAGCTGAAATTCAGAACAACGGAAAGGAGAAGGATGAGAATGACCCCAGAGATGAAGTCAAAAACGAAAATGAAAATTAAGAAGATTGGCCATTGTACTGGAATGAAAAGGTAGGAGTGCAAAGCTACCATGCGTGGGACTATCACTGAGTGCCTCTTCCAACACTTACGGATTTTGGGACTAAGCTCATAAATTTAAGTCAGTCAGAATCTGTGTTTGCAGCGATGGCAACTGCCTCCTTGGATGATACATGACTGTCGATAGGGCCCGCCCGTGGGCCCAGAAAGCACAAGTTCAGACTCCAGAGTTGTCTCTCCTGCAGCGGAGCACCGTTATGCGAAGAGGGTTGTCTTCATTGCATTTTCTTTTGCTCGGGGAGCCAAACCGTTTGTAGACGACTTCAATAGGGAACGGGGTGTTGTAAGCAGTAGAGTGGCCTTGTCATCATGATCTGTTGAGATTCGGCCCTTTGTTCCAAAAAAAAAAACAAAAAAAAAAACAGGAAGACGAATAATTGAAGAACCCCAAGGACTGAGGTCGTGGGTTCAATTCCCCACGGCATCCATTCGGCTCCCCACGACCCCTGAGGCGCACTTGGGTTTAAAGTTTAAACACCTGAGATAGCCGGCTTGCTCCCCCTAGTGGGTCTTGGTAGGGGAGTTATGCCCCCTTTCATCCTCACAGGGGGTCAGATTCAACCCTGAGGGGATAGGTAGGCTGGGATGGACTAGATGCCGACCTTTGCTCTGAGGTATGTAGGCAACTAGCGGGAGCCCCAAAAATTGAGAGAAGAATATATTCAATATTAGTTTTTTTTTTTTTTTTTTTTTTTTTTAAAAACATCAAGGACTGAAGAAGATGAATATATTTTTTTTTTAGGATGATGTCATGATGAATAATTTAAGACGATAAAGAGCCTTTGTTTTGTACTTCGTTAGGGGCCGGAGAGGCTACCAACCAAGGCTACTGAATAAGATGACTGGGTTGACCCATGGTGCTAAGACATCAAGGCTCATTGCATCTGGGTGGTTTGGAGGAACATGTTGGCTTGGAATGATCTGGTGTGGTTGCAGACTAGACTTTGAGGGTTTGCCAATACAGGGGGAACGTGTAGGAGGGGCGGGGGGCGGAGATGCTGGGTGGTAATTCAATTGGTGGTGTGTATACGGATGTGGTGATCAGGTTGAATGTCAAGCTCTTGACGAGGGGGATGCAGGACGCAAGTTCCGAGTGTTTTACGACAAGTTGGTGATTGCAACAGGTGCTGTGGCAATGACGTTTAATATAAAAGGGGTGAAAGAGAATGCAATTTTCTTGAGGGAGGTTGGAGATGCAATGGCGATTCGAAGAAAGCTTCTACTCAATCTAATGCTGAGCGACCTCCCAGGTATCTTCCATCATCCTTCCTTTTTTTTTTTTTTTTTTTTAAAAAAAAACAGGACCTTATGGTCCTGGCTCCATTCTATTCTGGGGAGCGTCAGTCCGGTTCCTATTCCACCAGCAAGTCAAAAGGGTATTACATCAAGAGAACTCACTCACGCTTCCTTCCGTCCTGCCGATTCCATCATCCTTCCTAGTTCTGTTTTTTTTTTTTTCACCTGTTCGTCGAATCAACACCTTAAAATAAAAAAAAAAAATAAAAAAAAAAACGGAGGGTCGCGGCTCGTCAAATCAATACCTCTTTTGGAGATCATCACCTTTTTTTCTCGTGCATAGACAAGTCACCACCTTTTTGCTCTTGTTTAGGGATATCATACATTTTTGCTTCTGCACCATTTTGATTCTTTCTTGATTTATGAGTCTTACTTGCTCAGGGGCCGTGCTGTTGTTCTCTGTATCATTCCAGTTTCACGGATGTCCCAAGGGACACCCTTTTGCTCCTTCATAGACAAAGTTGGCACCCCACAGACATGTCATCACCCTTTTGCTCCTATATGGAGTATTATGGACACATCATCACCTTTTTGTTCCTACAAAGATAGATCATCACCTCTTTGCTCTTGCAATGACTCGTCGTCATCACCTTTTGGCCTCCACAACGTTTTGCTCCTGATGCGCACATCACCAGTGTTTTGCTCCTGCATAGGCATATCATATCCTTTTTGCTCATGCATGGCGACATCATCATCACCTTTTGGCCTCAGCAACGTTTTGCTCCGACATGTCACCACCATTTTGCTCCTGCATAGACACATGATCACCTTTTTATTTCTTTGTAGGCACATCATCACCTTTTGCTTTCCACCCTTTTGCCTCTGGATATCATCATCTTGCTCTGGCATAGACATACTTGCTCCTTCTTTTTTATTATTATTTTTTTTTGAAACATCGCGATCGGACGTAGGGGAGGTGCTGGTAAGAGCAGACACCCCCTCTACGGCCGCTGTTTGCTGATGGCTCCATTCTATCGATGGGGAGCTGCACCTGCTGGAAACCGGGTCCAGCGTCCCTCAACATGTAGACACCATCATGAATCTTTGCTCCTGCATAGACTCATCATCCTTTCGCTTCTTTGTAGACACATCATCACCTTTTTCTTTCCACCCTTTTGCTAAAGATATCATCGTCTCGCTCTGGCATAGACATCTTTGGGGAAGGTGAACTTGTGACTTCTTCATCGAGTTGCAACCAGGTACCTTGTTGCTAGTTAGTAATGGCATTTTTTTTTCAAGGCATAAAGTTTTTCATCTTCTAAATGTTCGGACTCCAGGGCTGATGTAGAGCATTCCTCCTCGGGGCCCACCTCCCGATTGTCGTCTAGATTAAAAGCACCCACATAGTACTGGTTCTTAGGCTGCACCTGGTCATCATGCACAGCAAAGTGGTTGCTGCTTCCAAACTGCTTGCAAGGAGGATTCCCCTCGGCTGCCGGAGCACGTGAGATGTCAAAGGCCTCGAAATGGACTACCTCTCTCAGGAGGGATTGCAAGGGAGAAAATTTCTGGAATCCTAGCTGGTGAATGTAATCCTCAGTGACTATGGCGCCAACATGATCCAAACACATGGTAGTGTTCATCTTAAATCACGCTAGTACATGGACCCAGCCCTGTGGAGAATTGTTCGTCACCTACTTCGAAAAAGGAGGAGCCGGCATACCACCGATAAAATGCATCGGCGGTCGGTGTCACATTTCGGCCTCTGAATGGGGCCCACGGCCGATGTATGGCATGAACTGGTGGTTTAAGGCCAAGAGTGGTGAATAACCTACCGAACTCTTGATCCAAGGCCATCATTGTGCCTGTCCATTGTTTCCCCCTCATAGCCAAAATTTTAGTCCCGGCCTTCAAGGCAAAACATGTGGATCTTCATACCGTTTAATTAATAACACTTCTATGATGGTCACAGGGTTGGTTTCCAACCACTTAAGTAGGTCCACTCTAGAATAGCCTGCCTCCGCAGCATTAACCTCCGTGAAGTTCATGACAGGGGGCTCTAAGTGGGTACCCAAAATCACGGATTGATCAGATTCCAGTGTTCGGGACACCTTGAAATATGCTCTTTGAGCACACCAAGAGGTCACATTAGTTTTCCCATCATATCGAGGAGGAAGTTGTGTGCCACACTTTTGTTAACTCGTGGAGTGGCAAAGGAGGAACCAGCCATTGCTGATCTTTCACTCAGGCCTGGAGAAGTTGCAGAATTTCTGGTGCTGCCACTTGCTGCAGTGACCCCAGAATCTGCATTAAAAGAGCAGTAGAGAGGTGCATGAAATGCCATGAATAGGTGACACAGCAACAACATTAGAAGCATGAGGTAAGGATCATGGAGGATTAGTTGCTAGAGTCGATTGCAAAGCTGCAAGTTTTTGCAACTGTTCACAATGCTCCTTGGCCATCTTTGCCATAGCATCCCGCAGGTTTTGCACTTCATCAAACAGCCGGCACACCAGGTCAGGGCCATCATCTAGGAGATGGATAGTGGACAAGACTTTAATGCGAGAGGCTGCCTCTTCTTTTATTTTGTCATCCGTCAAAGAGGGGACTTTTTCAATAACAACCTCATTAGCGGCAATAATACTCTTCCCCCTGCTTTCCTTTGCACTCTTCTCCTTCTTCAGCGCCTTTACTATGAGTCTCTCATAAAGTTATTTATCCTCTTTGTCTGCTTCATCCTTCAGAGCTTGCAATTGCTCTGAGGTCGTAGCCATCTTAATAGGCGTATTGCTCGGGTTAGAATTGAAGTCTCGCCTTCAGCGGGTTGGTCAGGAGAATCGTAGACCGGAGACGGATTCAATAAGACTGTCAAGGTGAGTAGCCTCTTCCTTTTTCTTTGGACGTGCACTCCTCTTCCCGGTGCTCACTCCCTCAAGAAAGGCGCTCTCCTTTTCCCTCCTCCTCGTATCTTTTCTCAGACAGCGTCTCTATGGGCATCGAGATAAATAAAGAATCAATTACGCACAAGAAGAAAGGATAGAACTCCTTGCTGGAGCAGCAATTCATTTGGACTGGAGAATGACAAACAAACAATCAACAACAGATAATAACAACAATAGAAGTGTGATCCAACAGCCCAGTCCGGGAAAAGAACAGATAGATCAGATTCAGGAAATGATACAAGTGATGTAATGGAGATTCAAGGGAATAAGATAGTTGCAAGCCAGGCGCCGAGCCTAGTGTCAGGATTTGCAGAAGAAGACAGTCAAGATCCACTTGAAAGTGAATGTTCTATCCTAGGATACTTTGCTTTCCAGCAAGTCGGAGCAGTGCTTGATGTGGCACTAGAAAAGGTAGCAAGTAAGTTCCTTTCTCACAGGGGTAGCGTCCCACCACTGGGTATACATGCCCCCAGGTAGGCCGGTAACCCTAACCTCCTCCCAAACAGAAGGAGCCTTTACTCAGGGAGAAAGAGAACTGAGCTATGTGTTCCAATCCTAGCTCTGAGGTACTGAAAAGAAACGACATGCACAGATGGTCCCTACTCAGCGACAACCAATTTCTGAATGGAAAGATGAAAGTACTGTAGAAGGATAAGCAATGCTAAATAAGATACTCACATCCATCCATCCATCCATCAGGTGAGATAGCAGTCCACAAACACATCCACATCAGCCAAGGTCATAGAGAGTAGGAAAAGAAGTCTAGCATATCCGGATCAGGCCATGCATCGCCATGCACTCATCCATAGACATCCCCCAGTTACACGAACACTTACGTGTATGGTCGGAATTCTTGAGATGAAGAGTAACTCACCCCTCTCTATCATATGTCTTCCTGAGTCCTGACCCGATTAGCAACCTCTACTCTAGTGTACCTATCAATCTAGAAGGGTCTGTTGAAGACCAATCAGCAACTTGAAGTCATTTGGTGCAGTCATGCTACTTCACCACCGAGTTCACCTTCTTGGAGAGAAAGCCCAAAAGACGCTCAATGTCCTGCTCAAGCTTAGAGTCCTGGTGTGAGTCACCACTCACTCTCTCCTCCCTCCCTACACCTCACAGCGGCACTTTTTGTGTCTCACCACCCTATAAATTCACTCGGTCAACCTGGTCAGGGTCAGTGTCAACCCTACAACCCCTGAACCAGGTAGGAGCAGCTCCCGCATACATCGCCACCCCACTTCTTCACTAACCAACCCTAACCCAAGATTAACTTGCCCTAGTTAACTCGGATTAGGGCTAGGGCTAGGGCAACAAGACATCCTCTCGCCAGCAAGTAAGAGTATACTCGCACTAGGCCCTCAAAATGGCAGACTCGCAAAATGAGCTGCCAGATTGAGTCCTCCTTTTAGAAGGACTTGATCTATCTGGCCGCTGATTTTGCCTGGTGTGAATATGCCCTAAGTACCGCTCAGATACCAATTGTTATGATCCTGGCTATCTTGCAGTGCAACAATTCAAAGAACGACAATGTCCACGTAAGTGGCACACAGAAGGTCGTGGGTTCGATTCCCCACGGCATCCATTTGAAGTCCCATGGCCCACTGTGTGGCATACTTCGGGCACACCAATTTGAGATAGTTGGCTTGACCCTCCTGGCTGGTTGTGGAAATGGTGACTGGTCTTTCCAGCCCACGCCAGGCGTTAGGAGCATGGGTACTGCTCCCTGCACTGAGCAGGGTTAGGTAGTCAGTAGGTGTAGACCTTACACCCGTAACACTTGCTTGGTGTAGGCTAGGGAATTTAAGCTAGGTTGCTTGTGGGTAGGCTAGATTGTCTGTGCTTGGTTCCCTTGGGTTGCAGTTCTGGGTTGCCCTGAGGGATGGTAGGTTGTGTGCTGATACATGTGTGAGTAGGTTAGTGTGAGCCACTGTGAGGGGAAAAAAAGTACGAAAAATTGAGAGAAGAGAATAGTGAATGCAGCTGTCCCCCGACGAGGATGCAATCCGACTCGCTTTCTTCTTCAACTCACATGCATGCAACAGATGACAAAGCACACTGGCACCAAAGCG